GGGACACTTGAAACAGATATGGTCCCGGATATTGAGTACAGGTAGGAAAATTATTTATTTTTGAAAGATTAAATTGACAGCATATGGGGTACATAGACCAAACATTAAGCAGTACAGGATATTCAGATCTTGCCAAGCGGGGCCTCGAGACCAGAGCACTTCAGGTCATGCATTGTTAATGAAATAATGTTTTTTTGAAATATTGTTGATGGCTTACAGAATGTGCATCTCACCAATATTGATGAACTGCTTGGATTCCTTAACCTTAGTCCTTCATCTTGTGTTTTTCTACATGACCAAAATTTGACCCTACTCTTGTCAGGTTGGACCAGGTGATGAGCCTCGCAGAGGATACATCCTGACTTTTCTCATCGCTGGAGCCTTCATCGCCATTGGAGAATTAAATGTCATTGCACCAGTCATTTCAAATTTTTTCCTCATGTCCTATGCGCTCATTAACTATGCAGTGTTTGCAGCATCGCTTGGCAAGTCGCCCGGGTGGAGACCCTCTTTTAAGTACTATAACATGTGGGTGTCCCTGGTAGGGGCCCTGGTGTGTATTGTCATCATGTTCCTCATTAACTGGTGGGCCGCTCTGCTGACTATTGTCATCATCATCGCATTGTACAAATACGTGGATTACAAGAAACCTGAGGTAGGTCTCGGTTTTCGTGCGCGTTAAAATAGCGTTTAATTCCTCTAATCCCGAGACGAGTGACACGACTTGTTACAGGTGTTTCAATTTTTTCTGCAATTGAGATAAACGCGTTCTCAAAGCTATTACAATTCTTTCCAAGAAGCTAAATTTCAAACATGTTTTGCTTGTAGGTCAACTGGGGCTCGTCTGCGCAGGCCTACACGTACATCCGGGCACTTCGTTTCACCTATCGCCTCAATGCGGTTGAAGATCACGTGAAAAACTTTCGTCCCCAGTGCCTTGTGCTGACCGGTTCCCCCTCGTCCCGTCCCGATCTTGTTCATTTGGTGTCACACATCACTCGTAACAGAGGATTAATGGTTTGCGGTCAAGTCAAGATTGGTCCATTTGGAACTGTGTCGGGCTATGAGGATAGCTGGTTGAAAATGCACAAAATAAGAGCTTTCCATACCATTTGTTCAGGTAAAATCAACGTACAGTTTACAACTTTACTTAAGCTATTGGAACAGAGAGCTATGGCCGTGACGGTAGATTTGAAACTGAAAATTGTTCCTTTTAAAGCAGAAGCTTATCTATTTAAACGTTAGCAGTTTTCATTTTTTTTCTTGAACTAAGTACAGTTAGGTTATTCGCTGTGATGTTACCCAAGATTGTTCTATTTTTTGATATAATTCACCCGCCACCCTCTCATTTGTGAAAGTGGGTCGCTCAGTCAGTTACAAAAAATAAAATAAAAGCCCTGTCGGGCGATGAAAAATGAAACATCTGGACCACCTAAATTGTCGCTAGCGTCTGGCATTTGACATAGATTAGGTTTATTTTCAGATCACGCTTAGTTTTTTAAGACATCTGTCCGCAAGAACTCTATTAGTAAAGAGAAGTAATTGTTGTTGGTGTTTTCATTCTTGTTGTTGTCGTTGTTGTCGTTGTTGTTGTTGTTGTCGTTGTCGTCATTGTTGTCGTTGTTGTTTTTGTTGTTGTTGTCGTTGTTGTTGTTGTTGTCGTTGTCGTTGTTGTCGTTGTTGTTGTTGTTGTCGTTGTTGTTGTCGTCATTGTTGTGGTCGTTGTTGTTGTCGTTGTCGTCATCGTCGTCGTCGTCGTTGTTGTTGTTGTCGTTGTTGTTGTTGTTGTGTGTTGATGTTCCCTTCCACTTTCTCCCTAGCACCCAGTTTCCGCGAGGGCGTCCGCGTCATGTTACAGACGGTAGGCCTGGGGAAATTAAAACCCAACACGGTAGTTCTGGGCTACAAGCGAGACTGGAAGAAGCTGCTGAAAACTGCGAAAGGGAGGGCAGAAGTGGAGGAATACGTTAACGTCGTTCATGATGCGTTTGAGCTGAACCACGGCGTTGCCATTCTGCGTTTCAGAGGTGAGGTCGACTTGAAAGAGTTAAGTTCCTACGAAGGAGAAGATTGGCTCGGTGAAGAGGAAGAAGGGCTTATACCGGAAGTGGATGCGAGCGAGAGGGTTGAAGGCGGGGACGGAGTTTTGTCGGCGAGTCAGAGCGAGAGTTGCCCAAAGTCATTCCGTGTTGAAAGGATAACCACACCAGATAGCGAAGATCAAGTTGCGTCAACTGAGGCGAATACCAAGAGGCAATCGGGTTTTGAAGGGTATACGTTAGATATGCTCAAACCGAAACCCGAATTGGGCGAAGACGAGCATTCAATGAACGACGAAGGCAAGAAGTTGGTCACGGACCAAGTCAAGGAAGATGCTGCGCCGAGCAAAGGTGAAGAAGAAAGTCCGAATGTAGTGAAAAAGGGAAAATTTAAAGTGACTGTCACCAAACCCCAGAATGAAGAGGAAGATGAGCCAGAGGATAAGGTGGACGAGACGACGAAGTTAACAGAGCGCGTGGAGCCAGAAAAAGCCCTGGTCGAGGTGCCCGAGGAGGCTTTTAAAGAGAGGCCCAAAGGAACCATTGATGTGTGGTGGCTGTTTGATGACGGAGGCTTGACTATTCTCATACCTTACTTGCTGTCAATTCACAGCCACTGGAAGGACTGCAAGTTGAGAATCTTCACACCCGCCTCCACGCACGCCCTCAAGAGCAACGAGCTTAGGATGGCAAACCTGTTGAAGAGATTCCGCATCGACTTCAGCAGCGTGGTAGAGGTAGAGGGTATCAACACGCAGCCCTCCAGTGCCAGCCTTCATAACTTCCTGAAATTGCCCGTCAAGAATGAATTTCCAGACATAAGAACTCTGGAGGAAGACAGGAAAACCATGCGAAATATTCGCCTCGGCGAGTTGATCCGTCAACATTCCAACGACGCTAAACTGATCGTTATCACGTTGCCCGTCCCGAAAGTAGAGATGACGTCACCGCTCTTGTACATGAGCTGGCTGGAAGCGTTGTCAGCGGCATCTCCCCCTGTTCTGATGGTCCGTGGTAATCAGCATAACGTACTGACCTTCTACAGCTAGTTCAGTCTCTGCGTCGTCGAAAACAGTACTCTAAAATAAATTCCCCTTTTTTTGGGAAATCTGATTGGAAAGTAGACCCCAGTAGTTATTTTTGAAGGTAGGTTAAAGCAGCATTAATTAGTTAGAACCGTTTATGTATTATAGTAGACCATCTGATTCAGGTGTCTGTTGGTTTGAAAGTTGAATTTATGAATAAAGTGCTCAGGGCTAAACAAATTTTCGTTTCATAAAAGCATTTCAAAAAAGTAAAGAACCGCTAACGGCTCATCATTCGGATAATGAAGGAGTTATTTTGGGACCTTTCACAGATGAGCGGCATTTTGTTGAAAAACACTTTATTCATTAATTTAACTTTGCCTTGCTGGTTCGTATGTGGTTAACAAATACCAGGGTCATGACGTTTGTTGGCACTTCTAGCTTTATGTAACAGAAACAGAAAGTACTCCCGTGTTGTTACATACTGTAGTCGCACGTATATTAAGGCTATGGAGGTACTCGCGCGTGTTTTCTATGTCAAAGCTAGAAATCCCCTTTGTCTTATATACTATATTACTTTGCCATGGATCTGCTAAGTCGTAAAATTATTATTAACATGTGGAACAAATACGATTATTAACATTTCTGTGAAGGGAGTGGGACGTTGGATGGACATTAGTGTTATTTTTGGCATAGTCTTACTCTGTTTCACAGAGTTTCCCTTCTCTGTCTCACGGGGTACTAGATACTCTGAAATGAAATTGAGTAAACTGAACTGAATTTGATGTTCTGCGGGGCGGAGCTATCTTTGGTTATAATGCAGCAATGCTTGACTGAGATTATTTAATTTTTTTTTTTNTTTTTAGGTGCCAAGCACTAAAGAGAGTTTGCACATTATTTTTATTACCAATCTTTCTTTATAGATAATTGTAGTTTGTAGTATCATTTCTTATCTTTAATTCGCTAAGCAGCTAATCTCTACTAGGATTATATTAATTTTCTGCATTTTCATCTTTAGTGTTTATGCTATGACGAGGCATAACAGATCCGGTATCTTGGTCTGTAGTCTACCTTATGGTGTCTTGGTAGCAACATACTCGTTTCCATGCACCAGCGTGAAGGCAATAGAAATTGTGGAGAAGGCTTGTAAACTACTCAGGGAATGAGGGATTCACATAAGAACAGGACAGTATCATTTGTCTTTTGGACATTTGGCCAAGACCATTGAAGCCTGACAGCTTTAGAGTACAGTACACTATCAAGAAATGTAAGGACAGAGATTGTAGGATGCAAGGAACTGTTAAAAAACAGTATTTCAAGTTAAAGGAATTTTTGTTCGTTTTTTCTAATCAAAGTGAAGCAACAAAATGATCTGTTGAAATGGAGAGGAATCTAGGAGTGAATTAGGCTATGAACAGGCTCAGGCTGGGAGGGTCTGACTGTAGCTGGAAGGGCCGAGAAGGAACTTGTTGAGAGTGAAGTCATGGGGAGTTGGGTGGAGGATAGGCATGGCATCAGAGCCTCTGTCTTCTCTCCTCTTTCAAACCGCTTTCTTTTTGCCCTATCCTCAGGTCTTGGGAAACTTTGCATAGCCATTTATGTTTAGTTTACAAATAGTAACACTGCAAATTCGACCGGTTTTCCTGATTTAACATTTTCTTGTCACCACTCAACTTTTTTAACCTGGACAAAATAAAATGTCTTTCCCTTGATTTCTTATTTTGATGACAGTTGAAAAACTGATTGATGAAATTAATTTCAAGGTAACATCGTTATCATAGCCTTTTCTAGGCATTTGGTTGGTGGGAAGCAGTACAGAGAGTGCAAAGATGGATGACAAACCGTTTAAAGCCCCCTGCCTCTTTGTGCTGCTCCTGAGCCCATGAAATGTCACGAACTGGCTATCAGTGTACAGGGCTTGACAAAAGTGTCCTCCAGTCATAGATTCTCCTCCTGGGCAAGTAAGTTTTCATTCTCACTTGCCCAATGGGGAAGGGATTAGGCAAGCTGTCTATCAACTAAATCATTAAAAGAGCAAACTGAGAATTGCCCAGGACAAGCAAAATTTGAGGGCTACTTGTACCAAGAGCTGTATGAAATTCAAATTTTTTTCAAGCCCTGGGTATCATCATAATTCACTCATTAGGAGTTCATTAAGAGAGGACAGGAAATTTTAATAGGAAATACAGTTTTGTTGACAAAGTTAATTTCACATATAAGATTGCTGTTACATTATTATTGAAATTATTGAAACTTTCATTTGCCATAAGGTTTTTCCTACATTCTGCTAAAAGTAATTTAGGCTGTCTTTTCCCCCTTGATATCACAAAATCACAACTTCACCCTAGATAGTTTGTCAATTAATCACTACATGATTGTCAAGTTGTGCAATTGTCTTGAAAGTTTGTTGAGTGTACTTGCCCAGGTGAGGAATTTTCATCGGTAGTTGAGGTTTTTGACAAACTGAGCAGGTCATCAGAGTATAAAAATAAAAAGATCACTTAGGATGCATTTCTCTGGCAAAATCCAGACCAGGATCCAAGATCACTTGGATCACAGTGCATCAAACTGAGGATTACTTGCCAAGAATTGATTCACCAGTTCCTTTGATACACCATGATCTGAGTGATCTTCAATCATTTATCCTGGTTTGGATCATACCAAAGAAATGCATTCCTAGGTTACTTAGGCTGTCACATTTGTTATCTCCAGAACCACAAAGTACTCATTCAAGTTTCTTGTTTCTGAACTTTTAAAATGATTTCTGACATGGATATTATCACAATACCTTAGTCATGATTACCACCTCGTCACCTTATTATTTTATTAACTACATGTAAGTACATGTTTTAAAACATTTTTTTCCCATAATGTCAAGTTAAATAGTAAACTGCTGGTTTCTTCAAGGTATCAACCTAACAGCTTCGTTTTTTCAGCTGACCCTGTCACCTGCAGTCACTTATTGAAACTTGGCATTAGGTTCATGCTGAAATGAAAAGTAAAATACATTTGAGAAGTTACATGGCTTATCAAATTCTTTATATGACATTTTGCTGGATGTTATTAATGTGCTCAGCCTGATATTTTGCACTGGTCAGATCCAAGGAAGAATAAACTGTCACTACTTCTTTGGTAATTTTGTTTTCAATGAAAAACTACAAAAAAAAATAACATGTTTCTGTTGAATATGGGTAGAAAAATAGAAATGCAAACTACAAGTGGACACAAACCACAACATACCACAGGTGTTCTTTAAAAAATATGTAAGCTCAAATAACAGGTCAGTACAAAACGTAATTTAGAAATCAAACATTTCCGGTGGTTTTACAGAGCATCCAATATATACCAGTTAGTACTTTAACAAAATTTTTACATCTGACCATCATCGGTAACATTAATACTACCTATCAGTCATAATTTTGAACTTAGAAAATCAACAGTATAACAGTCATTTTATTCCCTCACACTCACCTATTGCATCAGATTTAAGTAGAAGTTTGGCCAATTAAAAACTTAAGGTCTTGAAATATTCGTCTCTTAGCTGTGATGAAAAACCTGTCAAAAATTAAACAAATATATACATTAACTTGCCTGTAACCATAAAGTTGACAATACTGTGAGATATCATTAT